CCCTAGAAATCTCGCCTTTTTTCTGCATTTTCCATTTTATTAGAGTACAGGTTCTGGAAGTAGGAATCAGGGAGATGTTTTTTTAACCCAGGTCTTCCCCATGCTCAGGTCACACCCACACCAACTATATCAAAAAGTCTGGGACTGGATCAGCAGTGTGTAAAGACCCCTAGGGGCTTTCAAAGTGAAGTAGAGTTTGAGAACCATTGCCTGTGACAGTCCAGCAATATTTCTGTACCAGTGGCTGTCTCCCAAGCTAGTCTGTGACCCTCTCCCTTGGTGTTAGTCTCTTCAGGCTGCTATAGCAAAATACCATTAGGCTGGGTGGCATAATAGTAGAAAGGTATTTTTCACCACATTCCAGAAGCTGTGTAGTTGAAGACACAGATTTCAGGCTGTTTGGTTTCTGCTGTGGACCTTTTTCCTGGCTTGCAGATGGTGTCTTCCTCTTGTATGCATCCATGGATAGCCTTTCCTGGGTGTGAGTGCATGAGAGAGTGAGCTCTCTGGTGTCTATATAAAGACATTAATCCTAGGGGATCAGGACCCAAACCTTAAGATCTTGTTTAAGTGATTCCTGTGGGTCCCATCCTCAAATACAGTCACATGGGAGTGGTTAGGGCTTCAACATGCCAAGTTTACGGGCACACAAACGCTCCATCCATAGCAACCTTCAAGAGTGGAAACCCTGTCTCATTCACTGCAATGTGACTGTGATGGTTTCATGTAAAATGTCCCCCAAAAAGCTCATGTGTTCAGAGCTAGGGGTTTTTGGAAGATTGGATTAGAGGGGAGCTATACTCAAGTAGATTCATCCATTGATGAGTTCATGGCTGAATGTGCTGTTTGGAGGTTGGTGGGGCTGGTTGGAGAAGGTGGGGTGTGACCTGGAGGAGTATACCCTTGTCCCTAGGCCCATCCTTTCCCTCTGACTCTTCCTGGTCACTCTCTCAGCTTCCAGCCTCTGTAAGTTGAGCAGCTTTCCTTCCTCCATGATGTTTCTGTCTTGGCACCAACTGACCATGGGCTAAAACCATGAGCCAAAAAAAACCCTTCCTCCTTTAAGTTGTGTCTGTCAGGTATTTTGTCAGCCCCATCCCAGCATCATTTCTGGATGCAGGTCCTTGTCAAGTGTTCAGGGAACCTACAGGCCTGCACCAGCCTCACACACCCACTTCTCTGTAAGCATAGTCGGAGATGTGTTCTGAGATGTGTGGGAGCATTGGGGACCAGGAAGCAACCCTTCCTCTCCTGAACCAGCCTTCAAAGAAAATTTCCTTCAAAATGTTTTAAAATGCTCATTATAG